CCCAATGTTCCTCCTACTTTGCCACACATCATATATTGTGTGAAAATTAGATGCTCTTCTCATCAACAGTTCCTTCAGAAATGTCTCTTTTGCGATTGGAAAAATCATATGAGGTCCATATCGATAGAATGAATATCTCTTCTATCACTATTTAAAATTAACTTCTCTGTTTCATACCTATTTGAATGCATCCATTCACTCATGATTTTCCAAGAAAAAAAAAGTTTATCTTTTTTTCTATTTTTTTCTTTTTTGGGAGAACAATGTTAAAATAATTCTGGTTCATGTCATTTATAATCTACATCTATACAACAGTAGACTTACTGTCTGTGGAAGAAGATGTTCAGGCACAATTTGGGGAGGCGAAACCCTAAGTGCCCTTTTCATTGGGAAGTGTCAGCAAAACAGTCTCATATTTGCTACCTTCCACACTCTTCCCGTGTACTCTTCTAATAACATCTCATTTGTTTTGTGACCTGAGATGTTTAGGCGTGATACAATACCACACTCATATATTTTAATACATAGCCTTATTTTCCTGATATGAATAGTCCCACAGTGATCATCTGATAGCTCTTTTTTAACTAAAAAAGCCACCCATACCTAAAATAATTTTGTCTCAAAACCAGAAAACCACCACATATGAGGATCAAAGCCAAATTTTGTGTGTCACCGAAGCACACAGTCTGCTACTTGGCCTTATAACCAGGAAATGGTCCCAGCCCTGGTTTTTTTTTTTTCCAGTATAGATGTTGCCATTAATGACTGTACTCTAACACTCTTATTTGTGCAAAGATAATAATCTGTTCCTTTTTTGTAATTTAATTTAATTTAATTTAAGCACATCTTCATGTGTCTTTTGTCTGTGCACTTAAGTTACTCAGTAGTGTTTATAAATCACTGTGTATAAGGTTTGGGTTTTTTTGTTCTGAAGATAGCAGAATATTTAGTTTTTTTCAGCAGTGATCTTTGTTTTCAGAAGAAAATAAAAAATGAGCAAGTCATCTTGGTTTGGGATTTTTTATTCTTTTGCCTAAATTTTGGGTATGGCTGGTGTTAGTTTATTTATCTTTGAGACTGCATTGGTGACTTATTTCACATGGCATATTGCATTCCAACTACCTTGTATGACCTAGTGGTGTCTGCATGCTCCATGGGTGAAAATGTATACAGTCTCTGATCATAGACTCTTGTGGAAGTTTTATTTTATCTGTTCAATTGTATTATAACTTTCTTGACTAATATTGGCTTCCTCGTGGCCGTCAAGATGCTTTTGCTTTTTTGCTGACCGTAGCTTTTGAGCTCAGTGGTGGATATTGTAACACGAATCTGAGTACTTCTTGAGTACTTAGCAAGTATGTTTTACATGTATTCAGACATCTACCATATTCTTTAGGTCCAGCATTACTTGTCAAACTTGAGTTTAAATGTCCATAACTGCTGTAATGGTTTTGCACTACTTCTGCTATACATTATTCTTCTATTGCTTGTTTTCCCCATTCTTCTTGGGAAACTTTGCACCTGTTCAATGCAAAGAAAAGAACGACTGGTTTGATGTAAAGGGATTTGATAAGAAGAGTAGAGAGACTACAGTTAAGCTATGCATGAATTTCCATTTTACATCACCTTTATGGCACAAACTAACAGTAGACTAACAGTGGTAGAGCATGGTGAGCGTTGAATCCTCCATTGTCCTAACAGCTGTGGACTCGCAACATGAAACACTTCTGGAAGTCTCCACACAAGATCATTGGAATCCCGCCTATACAGATGAAGAGGAGCAATATCCTAGCTCTGCTGGCAGGGGTAAAGCAATTAAGCATTTCAGATAATATTCAGATTTGTGACATAATTCAGTGAAGTACAACACTGTTATGGTGCAGATGGTTGTAATTCCCATACCATTAGCCTCAGTTCAGTATAATACCTTTATGTTATTTGTACTAGAGCCCTCAGGGGTGGCATCTATAACATTCATCTGTCATTCCAAGTCTATCTTTTGCATCTAATCTTCATTATTTGCCACTTTTCCTCACATCTCTGGGATTTTTAGACTTGCACTGCCAGTAGTGTAATAAAACTGAGCAGATTGTAACATTTGGTGACCCACCTTGGTGAGAAAAAAATTCCATTTTTCCACTTCAAAATTTTTATTGTAAAATCTGATGACAAAAGACAAAAAGGGGAGCTAGTGATTCAAATACATGAAACTGTGCTACAAAGGATAATAACTGTGCTACCTCCCGATGAATGTGAATATTTTGCTACCAGTTTTAGTGCCAGTAGCCAGCTGAGATACTGAAAGTGTGCTCATGTTCTTCAAGCCTAAAAAGTCTGTAGGCAGAGGCTTACAGAGTGCATTCTCCAGCTATTTTTGCTGTGTACCTAAATAGTTTCCAGTTAAAAATCTTTGAAAAGTATGGCTGGATATGGGCTTCGTTTTTAGGATGTTTTGGCTATAATGCACAGCTTTACCCTGTTAAGGAGAGGTGCAAAACTGAATAGCTGGAGGCACAGCTGGAGGCACAGGTATATACAGCTGGATTGGGGGCTAGCCTTGTAATTGCATAAAATTAGATTGTACTTAAAAGAAATACATTTCATTGGGACTTGTGGAAAGAGTTCTTATCCCGCTGTAAAAACAAGCATTTTCTACATCCTGTGGTAGGTCTTTGGATTTATACTATCTGCCTCCAATAGCTAGATATCCGTCTTTCTGTTTCCGAGATTGTTTTGAACGGTGAAAGTTTATACAATTGGCACCAGAACAGGTGCTATAATCACCCAAAAATAATTTTTGTGATAACTTTCTTTTAGTTTTGAAGTATTGTTAGATCAGTTGTATTCATACATTAGTTAATTTTTACTTTTTTTTTACAAGATAATCTATACATACTGGGTTTAATTACAAAAATAATTAATTATATTTGCATGAGTGCCCTGTTTATGAACATTTCATTGCCTGAATGTGAAGATAAATATTCCTCCAGTTTTGCTCTTTTTGGGAAATAGCGTAGGTTTCTCTAGCTGGTGGCTTATGGCATATGTCCAGCTCATTCTTTGCATGCTCTGATTAAGGACCTTTGCTTTACCTTTAATATATCACTCATGGAAACTTTTGATACCTAAGGCAAATATATTTCAGACTGATTTCTATTGCTTATCTTAGTGTTATAGGTATTCTTTTTTTTCTGGTGTCTTTTTTCTAAGCCTTTTAATGTTCATTAAAAAATCTCTTATGGTGGTGGTACTTCAGGTGATTTCTGACTGCATCTTCTGCTATGTAAACAACAGCAAGTTAAAGAGTAAACAATGAATATCAGTAAGAGCTTTAATTATTACTGAGTATGCTTTTCAACTTCGAATATATGAACCTACTTCATTCATCCAGTCCCAGAAGAAATGACAAATTCCTTGGAGCCGGTCTTGTAATTGTGTAGTTGAGATATTAACTCAAAAGAGAAAGTTCATCATCTTTTTCACTTTTAAAAACCCAGAATACACAGACTCAACAGTTAAGTTAGTATTAATAAATATGAACTAGGGATGCAAGCTGTTGTTTCTATGTGTTCTGCCACTGCTTGTCCTATAGCTTTTCTCTGCCATTGGTCATTGGGATACTTTCTAGCATACTTAAATCTTCTTCCAATCTTGGTGGTGCTTTTGTGTGATAGGGTTTCCAAAGGACTTTGGTTTTCTTTCGTCTTTCATTTTGCATCAAATGCAACAATGAAAAAAAAGCCAAACCATAGAAGCCAAGCACCCTTGTTGTGTAGACCATGAAGATGAGAATAATATGACTGGTGTTGGGTATTTTGATCATTATTGATTCAATCATCATCTTATCAGCACTAGTTACAAGTGAAAATGAAAAACGTCAAGGACCAACCCAACATCCACTATTACACAGTGTTCATTCTGGATGGATCAGTCAAGAACAAAATCCTGCATATACCACTGGGAGTATCGAACAACATGAATTTACCGTTGCAGGTGAAAATGATATTGAAAAGGAATCCTTTCATACAGGTAATATTACAGGTCACATTTTAGTAAATTATCAGGGTTTACTAAAGGTTTAGGTTTAGGACTTTTTTACTAATAGTTTTGCATTCTGAGGCCATAACAGAGGTTCTGTGAATAAACCTGAGCAATTCAGATGTTTTGGGGTTTTTTTGTTTGTTTGTTTGTTTTTTAGTTATTCTATTCTTCAGATCTGTTCCTGGAGGTTTGTTTTCTCTCCTATTTGGATTGCGTGTCAAGACCTATAGTAGATTAATTCCGTAACTGTCTCCTACATTTTGTGTTCTGTGTCATGTAGTCACAAGGTTTTAACAGGCTATCTACCAGGGTTGTATCTGTAGGAAACAGTGAATGTTTAAATGAAAAAATAATAATGTCTATTGTATTTTTCACATATTTGGGAGCTGCATTCACTCCCCTGTTGCAAGTCATTACTGGGTTTTTTTTCAGTTTTTGTTAATATGGCAATTATATCTAAAAATTTTTATCTAAAATATCTACTCACCCAACTTTTGAACAAGATGATACTGGTGATGAAGGGAAGAAAGCAAAGCATAGTGTAGAGTAAACGAGAGGCTTCTCTCTTCCATTGGTCAAAGCAGTTGAAATGTAAAAGGTCAAATGAGACTATAAAGCTAGTAACTGAAAATTGACATATATTAGTTTCTGTTCCTGTACGTATACTAAGTTTACTAGTTAATGACTGATGTGCTGTACTAAGCACTGCCAACAGTGCATTTAACACAGTCATCATCTGCTCTTGTAGATTATCAAATACAGGCAAGACAATAAACAATATTTGAGATGCTGTATAATGTGGATCTATTCCTTCAACTAAATGTAATCTTATTATCAAAAGTTTTGTGTAGCTCACTGCTTCAGCAGTCCCTAAGCCCATATTCCTCTAAGATATCAATCCCAGGTGTTTCATCAACATCCTTTAAAAATCTGGTGATGCAGTACAATGTATTACTGATACATATAAATACTATACTATACTATGCTATACTACTATAGCAATATAATTTGGCCTAGTTGAAATTAAAATTTTAACACACTGTGGCAGTTTTCTTGGGTTTTTTTATTTGGGTTGAGGGAGTTAAAGGGGGTTATGCTGCTTATAAGATTTGGGTACACTTTTGCTGTGACTGTCTAATAAAAACTACAGATTGGTTGATATGGACAATATAATATTTTTCTAAATAACTGCAATATCAAATATTCTCCAGCTGAATGCTGTCTTATTTATTGTGTGCACCATTCACAAATCTGCAGCATGTGCTAGCCTTCCCCTCTGTCAGACTTCCTTGTCTATTTTCCTGGAGATGCTGCAACTAATAAAACAGTGAAATTCTGAGGGGGAAAAATTGGATATAGTCAATACACTCAAATTCTGTGATTAAAACCTTACCGATGGGTCATATTCTTGCAGTTCTTTCTGCCTTTGCTGTTCTTAATTCTGCATCAGTGGATATTGGTTTGATATTCAATCAATACAAAATTAACAGCACGATTCAGGGAAATACTTTTGAAAAACAATGAGATATCTTAGTTCTGAAAAGCATATGCTCAGTTTGAGGAAGGAGTCAGTCCTATTGGTGACAGTAGGCAGCTTTTCTAAATATAAACCAGAATGAGAAGCAAATCTGCTTTACTTCTCTTTGCCATTAAATGTAGTAGACATGTGTGCAAGGCCTGTCATAGAGACAAGAACCGAAGAGGAGAATAATATGAGAAATGGATCTATATATACTGAGTTCATAATTGCTTCACCATCATCATAACAGCTATGGCCCCCAGCCATGGGGCCAAACAGAACGACTCGGCGCAAGACCCATTGGTGTATCCAGGTTGGGACAAGGGAGAGGATTATGCCACACAACCTGCTATAATGGATAGAATTATTCCTTCCAGAGAGAATAATCATGAAAAAGAGTCTTCCACTACAGGTACTAGTAATAATGTCAATTATGTATATTTCATCACTTCTATCTTTCAGATGGCCTGTCTTGGAAAGATATTGCATGAACTTGTAGAGAGGAGTAACTTACTCATCTCTTTAAGACAATTATATAAATTATAGAGTGATTAATTTTCTCTGTGCTCTACCTGGATGGTGGTGAAATAGAAGTTTTCCGTTTTAGCTCTGTGTAAAACATTTAGTTTTTTATTTACCAACACCACTTTTAGTGCTTTCTGTTCCTTAGTGAAGCATGACTGTGGAATTGCGTCCAGCTCATTACATATTATATTATTTGGTGTTGCCAAACTCTCTTTACCATAAAGTTGAATTCATTCTTATGTATATTTGTATATCAACAGGTTAATGTTTTTAATTTGTGAATATTCATCACTTTTCATAGATTTTATTGAAACATTTGTCCCTCTGGTTAGTAGAATGATGAGAGAAAGGAATTTACAAAACTGGCATGACACAACATCATGATGCTGTCTCATATAACACATACCATTTATACTATCAAAATAATGTTCTAAAAATGGGATATGAGAAACACAGGACTTATTCCTGAAATAAGAGGAAAGGTAACTTTAATCCTTTCTTAAACAGACAATGCTCAGAACCTATTTTTGATTTTGTGACAACTAGTTAGATTTCTTTTATGGTTGCTGTGTGTTCCTCTGATGGTATCTCTTCTGTCTCATTGCTCCTGCCATTATACAGCATTAGCCAGCTATTCTGAAAAAGCAGGACAGCTTAAGTTACGAAGCTGGAAAGCTGATGACAATGAAAATAAGTAGAAAAGCCTGTTTCCTTTTCTTCTATATGGTCCAATTAGAATAAAAACCATAAAGACTACTCTGCATATAAGGAAGAGAAGAACAGTGTGGGTGGTGGGTTCAGTAAACACCACACCACGAAGTAATTCTAATAGGTAAAAGCCTTCAGTAATGCCAAAATTTGAAGCTGATTCTGGGAGCAAATTTAGTCTTAACGACTACCATAAACAGAACAACGAATTATAACCATTTTCTGTAACTTGTCGCCACTCTCAGAGTCTTGAGCAACAAAGGAGAATCAATGCCTGTAGAAAGGGTTCTTTACTGTCAATACTTATATCTGTAATGTAAAACACACTGTAGCAGCACTTGACAGTGTCCCTGAAGCTGAGGATCAGGTCAGCCTGAGGCGTAGGTCAGGGAATTCTCTCTATGTCCTTTCCTTGTGTCCACTGTCCTTCGGAATATTTGATTAAGTAAAAAAGTGGATGAGAATATAAAATGAAAATATCTGATCAATACATTGAGAGAGCAGTGATGATGTACAGGAGGACAGGAGGTCTCCCTTCGCTTCCCCTTTTGTGGTGAGAAAATGGTAGCAGTGGTTTAAAGTGAACAGGAGACTGGAATGTGGTGGGAATGGGAGGGGCAAGGCAGCACACACATGGAATTCACAGCTGATTAAATCATCGTAGCAACACCTGTTGCCTCTCCTGACGGTGCCCACCACAAAGACCCAACTCAGCCACCTCTGCCTTCAGATAATGAACCAGGACAGGGCTCTGAAGGCACCACGCATCCCACAGACGCCCCTGGGGATGAGGTCTTCCACAGGACCACAGCTAGTATGAACAAAGCTGGTGATGACTCTCCTCTGACAGGTACCAGTAAGAATAATGGATCATGCTCATTTCTCATGCCTGGTGTGAAATGAGACATTATTTCTTCTGAAATTGACTCCTTTCCCTATCTTTCTCATCTTGGGGGTCTACATTCTAGTTGTGAACTTGCAGTGCAAACATTTTTATGATTTTGTTGCATGTGAACCTCCCAAGAAGAATTGCTATCTGTTAAGGATATTTTTCCCTGGGTCCCCTGTTTCTTATGTCTCCCAGCTTTTCTCACGTTTATTTTTAGTAGAAGGTGATACTGAGAAAGCAATTGCTTTGTGGGGGTGGCGGGTGGTGTAAATGAATCATAGACTTAAAAACAGTTTTTCATGTCTGATCATTCCTGGTCTTGGCGTTGCCACAGATTCTCTTAATACTGTAAACTTTGAAATAACTTACTGCAGTTTGTTCATGTAGTTCTGCAAGGTTCTAACTTCAATTCCTGAGCTCTACATGTTATCCAATTAAAATTATCCCCAATCAAAATATTGCTTTTTTATTCTAATATTTTTATTGTTTAATAATGGATTTTTTTGACATCGTAGTGCTTTGGAACTTCTTGCATCTTTCTTGCATTTTCTAAAAAAAAAATTCTAAGGAAAAATTAACATTTATGCTTTCCCTTTTCTTCTTCAAAATCCATTTTCATCAGGATTATTTAATCCGCAACACTTAGGATTTGCCAAAGAGCTATGAAAACCAAAGATTGTGTGGATTAAAATACAGTTCTTTTCCCTGCTCCCTACTCCTGTTTTCTAAATATGGAAGAGATCCTGTAAAGCTTCACAGTTCATTGTCATCAGTGTGTTAAGCTTTATGTGGTTTGACAGATCAATTGCAAATAGGAAAACCCAAGTACAATTTCGCAATTTATTCAATGTTTTCAATCAAGTCATTCTAATCTTTTTCTTATGTAATGACAGGAATTCTTATACTCATTTTATTCTGAAAATAGTATTTTTATTCTCCCTTCTAAATAGTGATTACTAGGTATTTTCAAAACTAACACTTTAGGCTACTGTTTGGAAATGCATCTTTTGGTTTCTCATTTTGCTTAGTGATATTTCCTTTCAGTGGTGTAATTTTGAGTGAATATTAACCTTTAATATTCAGTTAATATTTTGGAGGACTTGAAAATTCTGGAAGTGCATTTAGTTAAGCTATGCCTTTTTCTCAGCATGCTTTTGTGACATCCTTACTCTGTTGCATCAGCAGCAGTCTTAGCACTGCCAGAATGATGTGTGAAGGGTGTTCATTAAATAATTTCATTCCTTAATTTTCCATATGATTTAGTTTTAAATTCTTCTCTTGGGAGACCAACACACATTCTTATGATCATCTCATCGAAAAGGAGAGATGCCTAAATAGACTTAAAAAGACATTTTTTAATATGATGGTATTGTCGATCTCAAATAATCAGGTCTAAGTGGCTGCTACCTACTCTTTGGAAAGTTTTTATGTGCTTTAATCCACACTGAAATTTAGGAAATGAATAAGCAACTATTGAAGTGATCAATAGAGTGTTAATGAAGGAACAGACAAACCAAAAATAATGTGACATATACAGATCTTGCTTGCTTGTGTTTTTTTTTTCACTGTATATTCTACATAGGCTAAAAAAGAAAAAGGTAGAGCTTGTTAAATAAAATAAAGAGGGACAAATACATAAGGTGGGGTTTTGTAAACATCTTTGAAGTTAACTTAGCCATCATCACAACAGTCACAGCCTCCACTGATGTTCTGAAACCAGAAGATATAACCCAGGAAGCGTGGGCATCTCACATCATGGTAACAGCTGTTGCCTCTCCTGACGGTGCCCACCACAAAGACCCACCTCAGGCACCTCCGCCTTCAGATGATGAACCAGGACAGGGCTCTGACGGCACCACGCATCCCACAGACACCCCTGGGGCTGAGGTCTTCCACAGGACCACAGCTAGTATGAACAAAGCTGGTGATGACTCTCCTCTGACGGGTACCAGTAAGGATAATGGATCATACTCATTTCTCATGCCTGGTGCGAAATGAGACATTATTTCTTCTGAAATTGACTCCTTTCCCTATCTTTCTCATCCTGGGGGTCTACATTCTTGGTGTGGACTTGCAGTGCCCTGTGGTGGGATCTGTGCTGTTGATAGAATTACCTTCTGGACAAGGTATAAGGGACTCTTTGCTGGTACACTTGGCGGTTTCTGTCCTTTGCTGAAGCATGTTTCTGGGTGGCCTCCTGACTGTTCTGCAAGACACGCACTTTGGTGATTCTGAATCCCCAGCCCCACGTTCCTTTCTTGTGCATCAGGGGGATCAGGCTTGACATGCCTTGGCACCATGATTGGTGTGGTGGAGGTGCTCTGGTGGGTTAATCAGATGGCTTGCTCCTGTGACTCAGCAGCAGCACCATCACCGGGGAGTGCTGTCCCGGTAGTGAGGGCAGGGCAATCATAGAAGAATTACATCCCATAAATTCTGCCTTCAATTCCTTACTCTCCCTCAAAGGTGGATTGCCAGGCAAGACCACCACAGATCTGGCTGCAGTATGGCTGCTCACTCCTGAGTTACAGGGTCAGGTTGTTGCTGCTGTGGTCTCTTCTTCTGAAGGTCTTCCCTCTCCATCTGTCACTGGGATCTGTATATGTTGCCAATGTCTCCCTCCAACATGGTGAGCATGTATGTGGTGCTTAAGGGTCTCTCAGAAGCCAGTGACAGTGTGGAAGAGGAAGGGGAGGCCTTCATGTCTTCTCTCCTTCTGTGCTTTGAATAATGAAGATGGATGTGCTTTCTGGTTTGGTGTGGTTCAGGAAAGAGGGAAATAATGTGGGTGGTGGTTTTGTGAGCACTCACTTTTAAAGCTGATCATGCCATCGTCATGGCAGTCACAGAGTCTGTGGATGATGTTAACCAAGAGAAAGCAACCAAGGAGCCACTGGCACCTGGCACTCCACCTGGAAGTGAAAGTGAACAAGCAAACACCACAGATGGTTCCCATGTCAGTTGGATACCTGGAGTTTTTCCAGACATTGAAGATCATCTTAACCAATTGCAGACCCCTCTTCCTACTAGTAAGAACTACAAATTACGAGCATTTTCATTTATCCATCAGTCAGTTGTTGTTTTGGACAATGGCGATTGTCCAAAAACGTGTACTAATCATGATTTCCTATTTGGTTTTTATTATTGTTAATGACCTGCTTATAGGATGTTGTTAAAGGGAATCTCTTCCTGTGCAAAGCAGAGGACGTTTGCTAAAAGGCTGAAAATAGTGTTTTGCAAATAACCTTTTCTTATATTCTCTTATTTGTATGTGGTAACACAACTATTAAAGTGAACAAGTGTAAACTTTCTCCTCATGCCCATACATATGTGATAGCATTTTGTCTTTCTTTTTTGCTGGGCTCAAATGATAGCTATGTAACACTTAACTGTCTGTCACTTTTTCCCTCATCCGTATTTGGTCTACATTAGTTGAATATATATCAAAAGAAAGGTAATTCTCTGTGAAACCTTTTTTTCTAAGTGTATTTGCTGTTCGTATCTTGCCAGTAATTAATTATAGCTATGTTACTGGGCTGTAACTGACATTTCATTTGTCAACAACTTTTTTTTTAAAGGGTTATTCTTCTGCTAGAGGTAGTGCAGATAACAGTAAGAGTGTTTACTTATTACACTACATATAGCCTTTCTTTTTTTGTGTGTGTGTGGTCGCATGCCGATAGTACGGGAAATGAAGGGACTTTTCCTTATTCCCAAATGCAGTTTCTGTACAAATAATCATCCTAACAGTAAGGTTTTTCCCAAATGCTACTTCTCACGCACACTAATCCAAATACTATTTTCATGCGCCTTTTTGGAAGTTAGTGGGACCATCCCAGGGTAGATTTTGGCCAATACTCTGTGGACATTCTTTGCACATAAGCATATGTACCTATATTTTTATAGCATTATACAGCAAACACTTTAAAGATAATTCTGTTATTAATTAATTAATTAATGTTAATTCATACATTATCAGGTAGAATTGGGCCTACTTTTTTTTTTTTCAGAATTTTATATAAACCCAGCAAAATCAACCCTATCAAAATTGCCTGAGTTATAGTATTTTGACATAGGCACAACAATGTAAATGCAAAATGTGTATTTGATAGAATTTTATTGGAAAGATAAATCTGTTTTTAATAATGGTTTCCTACTACAACAAACTCATTTCTTGACTTTCACTGCCCTATTCACTTAATTAATCCAAGCTGCCTCCTTAATTTTATGTGCAGACATTACACACTATGAAAAAATGTTTGCTACCTTTCTGTTTTGAGCACATAAAACCTGTAAGAACTGGCTGAAGATAATTTTCAAGGTGAATGTCTGCGTCGAATCTTTGCATTGTCAATGCCCTGGCAAAGGCTCATAAGGCCATATTCCCAAAACTCTTTCTTTTTTCATTTATCTTCTCTTGGTGCTTTTTAAAAACACAATACAAGGGAATTACTAGGACACTACCATCATCATAAAAAAGTTTATTTATTGAAGGGTTCATTCATTTGTAACATTGCCCCATGTAGCTGTAATGGAATGGAAAAATTCATGAATATATTGGCAGACTATAGTTAAAGGCTTTCTCTGAACAAATGAATGGCTTGATGTACTATACTACTTTTCTTTCATTTGCTTTTTCTCTACAGCAATGTTTAAGTTATGGTCCGACATCACACTAATGACTGATCTGTTGTCCAAGTGTCCATGGAGTAACAAATCAGTCCACTGAAGGAACCCAAAAAATACCTGTCAAAAAGAAAAAATCCAGTATGTCATCAAAATGAAATGTAGAGAGCTTTTGAGGATCCCTCCCTGCTACTTGCAAGCACTTCCCCAGAGTCAGAACAGCAGGGGACATGACTGAATCCTGCTGCTTCTCAGTGCTCAGGGAAGGGGAGAGGCGAATGTAGCAGTTCTATAAGCACACAAATTTTAATAAATGTCTGCATGCCTTTCTAAGGGGCTTTGCGGTGGAAAAGCTCTGGCATTTCTCAAGGATTATATAAAGCACCTCAAAAACAATCTGCTGAGATGGTGGGGTAGACAAGTGGTTATGTTCCTCTTGGTCAGCTTTCCTGGAGGCTAGATCAGGACTCTTAGTTGCTGAATTAGTGCTCTGTCCGTTGTGGTGAGATAGCACGGAACAACTCACCAGTCAATAAGTTTCTTGTTAATAAAAATAATGAAAACATCTGGAAGATTCATGAGCTACTTGCTAGCTAAGCTTAACAGAGGGAAAAAACGTGCTTCTCAGTTTTGTGTTTGCCAGCTGCTATTAGGAAATGAGATCAGAAATGCTGGCTAGAAATGAGTTGCAACGTGTGTTAAAGAAAAAGAACTTTACAGCTGATTAGAGTAAGTCCTTAATTTGCTCTTAGAGTCCGGAAGAATTCACAGAGGTGGAGAACAGTAATACCTTTTTTGTAGTGATAATGCAGTAGTAGTCCCAAATGAAATCACTATATCTATAGTCTGCTGATAATTGTAGACTTGGGATACCCACATGGCAACAGAAATGTAATTGTGTAAACGTTCAAGCGGTATGGCCAGTATAGCAAATACTTGAGACTGGAAGTATGCATTTTGATTTCAGATCTAATACTGTCTTAGAACCAAATTACAGAACTTATTAAAAAGGGCAAGAGAATCCACTTCTAAGTTTACAGAGAGCATTTTTTCTATTAGGAAAAATATTTTGAATTTTTAAAGTCCCACTCTATACATAGCTATCAAATTTAAAACCATTCAGAGAATTATCCTTCTATGTTATGAAAGCATTAGAGTTCTAGAAATTAAGTTTTATCCTGTGTAGGAATAAAATTAAAAGTTTCAAAATTTCTCCAGATTGGTCATTTTAGGTCTCTCTCTCTTCTTTTCTCACTCTCTTTTCCCCATGGAACGGACAAGATGTTTGACTTGTGTGACAAAAACCTCTTAAAAAAGTTGCCAGCATTTACATATCTTTACATTTTTCTCCAGAAAATTTCTAGGCAATTATAATTGCATTTCGGTTCATGAAGTACAGCATAATCAAAACTGAAACATATGAGAGAGACAAGAGGGGAAAACCATGAGTTTTGTTATACAAAATACTAAAACTAGCCATAGTTCAAATGAGTATGATGATTACTACTATGTAATAGTTTTCAGTATAAATTCTTTTTAATGACCTCAGCATGAACTTTCTAGAGTATGTTTTTTTAATTGTGAAAGTCATAGTCTTTGCACCTCGCTGTTTAATATTCACTAAGATATTTGGCCTAATGGATAGTTTTGTTCTTTAGGATCTACCTCCAGTATATATGGTAATCAAGGACCACACAAGGGACATTATGAATCCACTACTTTCCCTGGAGCGACCACAACAACAACAACAGTTTCACAACAAAGGTCGGCCCAGGTACCAGGTAGGTTTTTGAAGACATATGTTTTAACAATTTAAGCACAGAATTGTATTAGTATCAACTGAAGTAAGAGATGAAAATGTAGGTCAAGTACAGTTGTTCAGGCTTTGTTCTGAATCAGATAATATTCAGCATTTTCACTAGTAGTCTGAAAAATGGAGCATATTGTACTCCAGCAATTTTCCAGCAATATCAAGATGAGAGAATGGGATTAATATCCAAATAACCTTTATAAATTGATATGAAATCAGTAAAGTTATATGCAAAGTATCATATCCATGAGAATGTTCAGTGAAAATAATAGCTGAGACAGAGTAAGGCTTGCAGATCAAAACGGAATAGAAAGAAGCCAACACCATGATACAATTGCAAAAGAATGCAGATACATTTTGGGACATATTAACAGTAAAGTAGTTTTTAAAACAGAGAAAGTAATTATCGCACTCTATGTAGGCCTAGCAAGTCCAGAGGTGAAGCTCTGTGTTCAGTTCAAGCATTGCATTAATCACATAGAAAAAAAAATGGAGAAGAGCACAAAGAAAATTTTGGAAAGGTAACCTTTGAAACACCTTTTGAAGAACTCATCATTTTCAGAGAAGACTGAAGGGAGATATGGAGTAATAATAATTAACTAATTAGAAGTAGTAATTTGTTTCAAATGAAACGTAGGAGACTTGTTTCAAACAAACAAAATAAAGAAGTTAGCTCTTAGGAAAGGATCTCTGTCTGTAATGGTAGTACAGCATGAAGAATAGGCTACTGGGAAGGTTGTGAGATCTCCTTTACTAAAAAGGTTAAGAGTGAATGGAATATTCCTCAGCCATCTTCTTATTGACCCTGTTTCGCTGGAGTGAAATGTAGCTGATATGACCTCTTAGGGTTCCTTCCAGTTTTGTAGTTCCTTTTTTTTTAGAGTTTGGCCCAAAAATACCCCTTAAAGTAAGATTTTAAATGAAAAAATGAACATTTCACTCTACCTGAAAGTCATCCTGCTTTTGTGCCTGGGACTGCAGGTGTATCATTGCTAAGCCTTTTCTTTTGCTCTTGGAGTAAATCAGTGATACAACTCCTCTTCACCTATGCCTGCCAAAGTACAGTGCTTATAGGTGCTAACAGTGGTGGGGTATTTCATCTGAGTTGGCCTGTGTATAGCTGAATGATGAAAATGTATTCAATTTGCACAGAAGCACTTTGTAAAACAAACAAACGTTCATGCAAGCTAGGAAAAAAGTCAGGCAGTTTAAAGAATGTAAAAGAGCTTCTGTTCTCGCAGATCTGTGAAACGGCAAAACTACATGAGATATGTTAACACGCTTTCTTCCCCTCCCTCAACTCTCCCCACAGAATGGCTGATGATAGTTGCAGCTCTTCTGGCACTTGCGTTGATTCTTGCAGTGTGCATTGCTGTTAATAGTCGGAGAAGGTAAGGTAGCTGCTTTACTTTTTCAAAACACACTGCCTTGCTATTTTCTTCATCGAGAGGCTTCAAAGCTTCAAGTAGCATAACACAGGAAGGAGCTTCCTCTGCGAAGCTCTGTGACTTGGGGCGTGAGGGCCCAGGTCACCGTGTCCTGCACAGGTCACACATCAGCCTTCACACTCACGTGGAAGGATGTGAAGTCAGTATCTGTATAAACCGTTTGGTCTTTACTTGTAGATGGAAACTAACTGTATATAGATCACAGAGAATTAATTATTCTCTACCCATTACTTATTAATAGGAAAATCCTGTCCACTGAGAGTGAAAACTATGTGAGATGGACATAGGCAGTAGCAACCACAGGGTGAGCTGAGTGTAATCCTCCACCATTAACAGAGTTGTCTGTGTACAGTGTGAAGGGCTGTGTTAGACAATTGCTCTCACAGGATTAATCTGTTCCTTCCAAATAATATCAGTATCATAGCTGGCAGTCACAGGGGTATAATCTAACATTGCTATCAGAGCACTCAATAGCTTTATTTACTCTACTTTACAGATGAAGCAGCTGAGGAATAGAAAGTTGCAGTGATCTGTGCAAAGTTAGCCAGGAAATCTGAAAAAACTCTAGCCTAAAGGATAGGCTATAATGTTCTTAACTTTCTTTTCTCTGGGGGTTGTTCTGAGGTTACTTCTCAATTGTCTTAAACAGCTTTTTGCTACTTGAATGTTAAAGTTGAATGCTTTAACAGAGTAACTATTTTCTACTTGAATGTTGAATTTGAACTTTTTTATATAATATGTGGAGATTTTTGTTCAGGAAACAGCGAGCAAATTTATTGCTAGTCTGCTGGTTGCAGGAAAGCACATGTTAATTCTTCTGTGAAATAGTGTCAAGGTCCTCCAAAGCATGGTGTGGGTGCTAGAATAAAGCCACCATGGTGAGGGAACAACCCAGGCAGTCCCTGCCCATAATGCAGAAGGCTTCTAGGAGACAAAACAGTGCAAACTAAATGCCAAATTGTCAGAGTAAACTGATACAGTTTTGCTGAAGTCAGTAGTGAGATGCCACCTGGTATGTTTGCCCTATGACTGTATCCACCATATCAGTGCTTCTCTAACACTATTATTAGAGACCTGTTGAATTAAGAAGCATATGGTGAGACAGAAAACTCTACAACTCAGCCTCTGAGTTACACAGCCTAAATGGCTTGTCTTATTGATTTATGTGTTACTATATTATGCCTTTGAAAGTAGCAACTGCCATTGTTTCCTCCCTCTTAGCTCAGAGTCACCATAGGAACAGACAAACAAGGCCACTATGGCTAATTATAGATTGCATCTGACAAGAAATGAAACAATCTCAGGGCTGTAAATTATGCCCTAGATACCGTTAATGGAAACCGTATCTTTTACTTAGAGCTTCCATGCAGCTGGGAGTGAGTTGCAAAGAGAGAATGTGCCTGTGGGTGCACGTATGTGTACGAATGCATGGATTAAGCCCTAGTAATATGTGTTAATCACTGTGAGGAAAACTTTTTGAAGCAGGGAAGTACTCTGGTATGCTTGAAACAAGTGGAATTTTTTCTTTCACTTTAGCATGATCCAAATGATAACATGAGTAAGTCAAGAATCCTTTCTTCATCTATTCTGATAAGTGCTATTATGCTCAAAATTCATAGAGAGGTAGTTGCTGTGCGGTCAGCATACTGCACATGAATGCCAACTAATCCGAAACGAACACTGCAGCAGCGCTATGAGAAAACTGGATAGCTGAGAAAGGAGGATTGAGCATTTCAGTGTTAGCTGAGCAGTAAGTTGAGAATGTTTCAAGCATTGATTTATTTAAAAAGTGAGAACTACCTGTGTTTTTATTTGTGTAATGCTGTCAGTTACACCATTTTTCTAAATGAATGCTAACTGCAGCATCTCCAGTTTCAGCCTCATTTGGGTTGTCTGAAAAAGTCCAGTGAGGCAGAGGCCTTAGTTTCAAGGTAGTTAACTTCCTGATTCAGAAATCAATAGATTTAGCCTTTCTAGTTAGGAGGTCAGTATGGCAGAGATTTCAAACAAGCAATTGGGCCTTCTCAGTAAATAGCAAATTGCTTGGCTATAGTATTTCTTTTTTTTTTTTTTTTTTAAATTGGTGTTATCATAAGTTATCTTAACCAAAAACCAAAACGGCCAAGGTTCAGTGTGGTCCTATTTAGTCACTTAGTTAGATATTCCTCTTGTTGCAAAGAAGACTGCCTCTGTCTGGTGCCTGTTGTAAAAAGGGTTAGGATCTCCTTCCAGGGTCCAAGAAGATGCTGCCCAGCCTGACCATCACGTCAGGAAAGGCACTCTGAGCTGCTCTTTCAAGAGGCTGTGGAGCTCCACAGCTCCTTGCTGGCCTCTTTCGGCATTTCATGGCTGCAGAGCAGGAATCATTCCCAAGGGTGTGTGTAACATTAGCACAGTGGACTGAGCTACTTCAGATAAAACAACCCTCATCTATCGGTCAATAAGCATGAAAAAAGTAATATTTCAGAAGGATAACAATATAATTAAACTGCCACATTAGTCATTCAGGCAAAATATGCTTCATTTAAGAAGAAAGCACTGTAAAGTACAACTTCACAGAGACGTTGCCCCTCTTAAGAGAGCTGTGCTTTGTATATTCAGTTTACAAAAGGCTGTTCGAGGACAAGTAGGATGTTCAGCGCTGTGTAGCCAGAAAACCATCTTAACAGTCTGGGGGAAATCTGACAGCTGTGTAACTAGTACTTTTTTACTACCCTGAAGAATACCCAGCCCATGTTGACCAGCACGCATCAGTTTTGGACTTTTTAAAAGAGTGTGTGTGTGCGCGCGCGCACGTGTTCATTCAGAGCTACATATAGAGTTTATTGGGAAGCACTGCAGTGAGTATAACTTTAAAAGCACAGTAGCTATTTCCTACCTTAATATCATAAGGAGCTGTGCTGTTGATAGTAGCAAGAGTAGTTCTCCATATTTCCTTGCTGTTGGTGGGCTTCTAGGCCTGACATGCTTTGTGAACCAGTACAGGCAGGACGCAGGAACAACCACAAAACCACGGATGAAATGCAAAGAGTAAATTTATTTTTGTTACCTCTCCAACCGGGCGATCCCCGAAGCAGCACCCGGGCAAAGGCACACGAGCAGGGACGCAGGCACCGCGGAGCTCGGTCCTTGCTAGAGGATCACTGAACCTGCTGTTCTCACCTATATTTCAGGGATTCGCGCAGGCATAGTTTACCACTGTCCTTCCCACAGCAGGGCAGGAACCTCAAGCATGTTCGATAGGATGCCTGTATTACAGACCTGTGTTATCTAAACACAGATGTTCTACTTATCCAACACACAAGGCCAAACAACAATCAGTATGATATATGTGTTTTTCGACACCCCAGCTACAAGTCACTTGAACATATTTACAACCCTCCTCACCAGTCTTCCGTTATTTTCTCACACATGCTAATACAAAGAAGGAAAAAGTTACCTTGAATAATGAGGTGAGAGCTTGATCCAGATTTTCTGCTATCTCAAGAACTTGAGCATTTTCAAAGTTGTGGTCCCAAGTCTGGGTTTAGAATGATCCTGTCCTTATAGTGGGATATATATAAAGTTCATAAATGTGGATATATCCAAATGTTAGAAAATCTTTTCTAGCTTTCAGTAACGAATGTTATTCCTATCTGTAATAAAGATAGCTAAAAATCAAATAAGTGAGCTCCTGCCAAATTTTATGCATATAATGGTGGATGCTTTCAAAAATAAAATATGCAATATGGAGAAACTTTACACTTTGCATTGTATAAGTCTGCACTGGCAGACACAAGTTTCGTTTCCAAGCACATTTTCCTAAATATTGACTTTCAATTTTTTTTCTTATTTCTGTTAGATCTCCATTTATAGTACTTATTTTCTTTTTATTTCTTTCTAGATGTGGGCAGAAGAAAAAGCTAGTGATTAACAATGGCAAAGGGGCAGTGGAGGACAGGAAGACAAGTGGATTAAATGGAGATGCCAGCAAATCACAAGAAATGGTGCACTTGGTTCATAAAGAACAGTCAAATGACCGAACAGGAGCATGTGACGAACTTCTGACCGTTAATGAAACACAAAATCATCAGGAGCTTGACATGAAGAGTGGAGTGTAATGGTACCAAGTTGCCAAGTAGATCAGAGCTGGGGAAATCAAAATCACATGGAACTTGGACAGGAATTCACAGATGCACTGTGCTACTGATGTCTTTTGAACATAATTAAACTTAAGTTTTATTCGTTTTTAATCACTTCAAAATGATGTCTGAGTTACAGAATTGACATTTGCTTTCTGAAATAAGCCCCCAAGAGTTTCACAATGTTTTCATTTCCCAGTTCCTGCACAGAGGACACTCACTGTGTCGTGGGTGTTAGTTCAGATACAAGTTTACATCATTGTTCCCCAGATGGAGGGTCTTCGCTGTGCGGAGCTACAGAAGTATGCAGTCACTCCATCTTACAGGCATTTAAGGTACTAAAATTGCCATGGTACAAGGGTAAGTAAGGAACAAATGTCAAGAGCAAAAATCAAGTTTAAACCAAAAAAGCCTCCTATACAATGTCTAAAACATCAGAATCCTTCAGAAATGCTTTCCAGCCAGGAAGAGCAGTAGGTGTATTCAGAGTCTGCCAGTATAAACAAAAAGTGACATTTTATGATGATTTATGGCTTGGTTTGCAATGAGGGAAACCCAGAAGGACAAAATTTATTTATCTCTATTTTTAAATGTCTATGGGCATTCAGCAAGTCTTCTTGGGAGGGGGAATAAAGAGATGAAAACACGAGCTGATACATAACAAACTTCTATACATTATTATCCTAACAATCTGTACAGTTATCCTTGAGTTTTTGAGGTGTTCATTGCTCTTCCCCCTCCCTCCTTTATTGGTCACAGTGTGTGCATGTTTTTAATGAGTCTGTTAGTTAGGATAATGAATAAAACAGAATGACCCCAGCTCTATCACACATGCACAAATCAAGCAATTGGAGATCATTAGGGAAGATGACAGTATTTTATTCCTGAAGACTAGGTCACTATCTTCTTCTGCTCCATTTTACTTAGGAGATGCTGAGCCTAGTAAAACTTGTTTCCCCTATAACTATTATGTTACACCAGTTTGCTGATATTTTAAAAGTTGCCTTTCTATGATCTCGCTCACTTCCTTTGAATTCTATTTCATCCATGTTTTTCCCTCTGCTTTTTAAAAATACCAGAAGAAATTTTGCTTGCTTATTGGTACCAGAAGTTCAGATTCCACAGAAAAGATCAAAGAAAGTTAAAGGAAACTCTCCTAGCCATGTAATATAGTAAAGTAGCTGCAGCTGCATTGTTATATGCTTTTGTTTTGTCCTTATGTGTCTGTTATGTAAAGTATTTGTATTAAGCTATGATGCTGTGCATTATATCGATATGAATTGTCAGAAAGAAAATTATTTACTACCAGTGGTCTGTGCCATTTTTAAGAGGGTGTATTAGAAAGGAGGGAGAACGGTAACTTCTAATTGGGCTGCCTCAAAAAAATGCAAGTAAAAACAATCTAAGGCAATTGCAACCAGTGGTCTGTGTCAGTTGTGGGATGGGGAATGTCCTGTTGCAGGGTTATTCAAATGTTCCTGTTCACTGACCATAGTACCTGTCTTTGAAACTGTTCTGCTAAAGCACGTTATTTTACGTTCTCCATCTGAAGCAATTTGGAGGATGAGTATTCAGCGGGCTAATACTAACATTAGCTAGCACTGATCTTTACTGGAACATAAAGCACAAGACTGTTGATTATATTTCTTAGTCACAGCACTCCAGCAGTTTCCCATGTGTTTCACCGAGTTACTCAGTGCCCTGGTATCTGCAGGCAGATCTCCTCAGGGGCAATTTACGCCTTGGGCAAAAGGTCCCAAGGTGAGGTGTGATTTTAAAGTACACATAGGATGTTTTCTGACTTTATGTAGGTCAGCATGTTTCATCTATGAACAGTCACACAGCTCGTGGTCCAAAGTTGTTCAAACAAGGTGAAGCTAATGGGGTCAAGGTGATTTACACTATCAGTACTTGTGGTCCACTGTCAAACTTGTCAGTCCTTTCATGTATTTTAATACTGAACTGTGTAGTGGGAAGTCTGTTGACTGCATTGATTTTTGTTTAATTCCTGTAATGTTTTAAGCAAGCTTTTCTATTTGTCATTATAAATCAAAATGATCTGTTGAAAGCTGTGTTTAAACTGGTGTTATGTACTTCACTAAGTATGGAGATCCAGAGTAAGAATTATTCCTCTCTTTAAATCCTAATTGAATATAGGTCTCAATCAAAAGCAGATATTTCATTGTCTTGAAGGCTAAATTTTTCTTTAAAAAAAGAAAAAGACTGTGGCATGTTATTCATCTCCCTATTCAGATCCTTAATGGAGAAATCCACAAACTCCTTCCTGATTTATCTAATGTTCAGTAGCTATAAATGCATGGACAACACTGGTTGGCTTCTTTTTATATTTTTAAATAAGGAGATGCTCAAGTTCTCTTTACAGAGGCAATGCCATTGTTTTGTGTCTTTTTAGATTATGTCATATGATTCATGTGTAATTAAGTTTCATTATAGTTTCAAAACTAGACGGCTATTTCATATGTGTAATATAGTACATATTTTTATTAATCTTGGCTTTATTATTTGAGGGGTTGTTTGTTGTGTGTTATGTATTTTTTATATAGAGCACTTGATATATTTGCATATTTATTTAACAGATTAATCAGAATGAAAGAAAATATCTTCTCTAAATTGTAACTAGAAATACTATTGCTAAAAACACATTGAACTGTAAAATAAGCTTCCAAAAATAAACTTGATTCCACATTGAGGATAAAAAGTAAGACCAGTATTATTAGTGGGAGAGAAGTATTCAGCAAAAATAGTTGTATGTAGTACTGGTGAGCCAGGGGTCATTTTTTCTGCTTGCAAACTCTAAGCCAGGCTCAGCTGAATGCTGTGTGACCTTGTCTGCTCTGCCAGCCTCCCGTAGGCTCCCCAGATGCTCTGGGAGTTAGCAATTAACTCAGCTTCCCCCGAGAAGCAGACAACTTGGTCCAATTTAAGATCAACCCAGTAAGACCTTGACGACTATTCCTGGCTTACTGAACCAACAGCATTTGGGAGAGCGCAGTGCCCAGCAAGATGCAGCCCTTCCTTCAGGGTGCTGCCAGACAAGTTGGGTCTTGGTCTACCCTTGGTGCCTGGGAAGAATGAGGATTGCTCCTAAAAACACTGAGGAGACCAGGCTGGACCTAGAACAGACCCTGTGATCAGCTTGTGTTATTCCTTTGTCTTGAATAGTTTAAAATAAATGTAATCCACACCACCTCTCTCATGGAAATACTGTCTAAAGCAGTAAGCATATTTAAGAGAGGGATTGTATGTTTTATGAGAATATAGTATTTTCATCAAACAGTCCGGGGTAATTGTTTCACCTATATTTTATTGAAGATCTTACGAGGAACGTTTGATTAAAGCAGAGAAAGTATATGTGGCCATCATGTCTACCTTCATGGATGTGTTAAACCCTTTCCATAACATCAGTTCCAAAATTATGTTTCTGCACAATGTTTTTCATGTGATAGCTATGTCTTTTGTGTGTCCTTTGTCAACAACAGCAACAACCTCTAAGTATTTTTAGCATGTTGCCTGGGATATTATTAGGAGGCAATTACCAAGTGTCTCTTTAGCACATAGAAACAACGCTGGGCAGGGACAGAGGTCAGTATATCATCCTGGTTAGGGCTGGTCTTAATCACTCTTTCTGTAGATGAAGGAAAGAAATTAAATCCTCTGACAACTCTGTTCTCCCTCAGCATACACAGACACCAGGATATTTTGTAAACCAGCAGTTAATGGGTTTATTTTATGCTATATTAGGCCATTAGCCAATAATTACTTCTTAGTCTTATTAAACAATTCAAGGTTCTGACTCCTCTGGTTGCAAGAGATTTGATTGGTCAAATACAAACCCTTTGGGTAACCACAAGTACTGACTAGTTTTCCTCTGTGGAGAGGAAAAGGACAAAAAGGTGGCAGGAAAAGCACTGCGCTGGGCTGTTCCTTGGGGTGCAGTTCCAGCTGGGTGGGAGTGGGTTACAAAGCTCTCATTCCTTATGGGGGGCAAGAATTATGCTAAAGGTGTTTTGGGGGTGGGAGATTATTATGCTAAAGGTGTTTTGGGGGAGGGTCTGGGGGATTAGGGATGAAGGGAGGACGCAGTCGCTGGGAGAGGAAGTAAAGGGAGAGTGAAATTTCTGTGCTACTACTGGGAAAGTCCCTTCAACACCCCCAGGACTTTGGAACTTGAATGTTTCACAGTTCCGAGAAGGAAAAAAGACTTGGCCTTTCCTGGTGAACCCCCCACCTCCAAGTCACCCTCTACATTCACCACCTCATCTGCAAATTGATTTTGAATAATTTTTCCCTGGTAGCTTATTTCTCATTATTACTATGACATGCTGCATGTGGCATCCACTAACACCATGCTGAGAGCAAGCAGCTGTGACGATGCGAAATGAGAGACAAAGCTCAAATTTAGCAAAGATGAGTAACAGTGTCTTTTGTACAGCACAGAGACTGTACTTTTTGTCTTCCCTGTCACACCCATTTGGAGTAAGGTTAGCAACAGCAAGATTTCGAGAACATTTCTCTTCTTGCTCACCTTCCTGTTTTTAAAGTACCAGACTTACACGGATCTTCACATAGGTCAAATGTGCTGCTGCACAGTTTTTTGAGAAGTTGAAACTGAAGAAGTGAATCCATCATCATCAAAGAAGCCCTCCTGACCTCAAGGGAGCTGATTATTGTTAAAGTGCAAGTAAAGCAGAGGCAGTGAAAGCTTTACGTACGCTTTAAACACAGCCTTCTTTCAATTGCATCTGGATGGTTCCAGCAAGCATTAGAAAGGTTTTGCCTGAGCGACAGCTTCAAGGAGTCTCAAACATTTTATTAAAACTTCTTACCCTCCAGGCAAAAGGGTTTGGATGAAAGGCAAAAGGGATGGATGAAACCCATTTTCATACATTCTCTGCCACACAAATCTGTGCTATGAACACTGATGCGAATGTCATTAGTTTTGTGTTTTCTTTCAGAAAAAAAGAAAAATATTAAAATGATGAAGTTTTGGATAAAAACAAGTCCACAAAGACTGTCAAATGAGAAAATTACTATTACTTGTTTTCAGAAATAGACATAGTTTTAGCTAGTTTTAATGTCCCAGATAGAAGATCTAGCTGTGCAAAATTACTTTTTTTTTCTTTTTTGGAAGGTTCACAATGCCTAATACATAATACAGCTTTACCTTTGTACTAAAATGAAATTCTTACAAGTAATTTATTTCCCATTGGA